AAGTCAGGTTACCGAAAAGCAGCAAGGCCAGAAGCTAATCAGGGTGAACTGTAGCTGGGTGTGAGAAAGTATAAAAGGCTTTGAAGCCCAGGAGACACCAGTGAGAAGGGGCTACATGCTGGGATCTGGATCTGGGTTCTGGGATTTCCCAGAATTCCTTTTATTAAAGTTGACAAGATCCTGTCTACAAAGAGCCCGCCAACTTCAAGTGCAACTGACCACTCCAGCAAATAAGGTAAATGCGCACCCAGGCTGGTATCCCACATTCTGCCGAGATTCAAAAGAAGCAAAAAACAATATATTCCTGAATCTCAGCGAGAAAGTAGAAAAGACTAAAAAGCGAGGAAGAGAAATGAAGGTAGACAAGGGGGTAGGGACAGTAGGGGCGAGCCCGAGCAGAAATGCACCGCCTGCCAGGCTCTGCGTCTGCACTTTGCGAGTACTGACCCATTTAATCCTCCCACCAAGACGGAGGCAGAAGCTACTGTCATCTCCATTTCACTGACGATGAATCTGAAACCCAGGGACGTGATATCACCTGCAGCGAACAGAGCTGGGAAGGGGCAGCGCTGTGACCTGAACCCCATCCTCTAACCTGCACGACCTATTCTGCCTCCCAGGCCTTAAAGCAGGACTGAGAGAGGCGTCGTTCACGCATCCATTTAACGAACTTGCTGAGCACCCACTGGGCACGTACGTGCCTAAGCCTGGTGCCAGGCGCTGGTGGGCGGATGAAGGCACCAGGACTGGGAGGGCCGGGGGACGGAACGCAACGTCAATCATAACACTAGGGAGCGCGGGGCCTCGGGGCCAGCGGGCAGCTGGGAGGCAGGGGTGCGGCAGGGGGGACGGCTGGCGCGGAACGGGAGGCGGAGGGGAGCCGAGGCGCGAGGGGCGAGAGGGGCGGAGGGCCCGGGGACCGGGTCGGGGTCGGCAGGCCGCCGCCGCAGAGGCGCGGTGGGCGACCACTGCCACGCTCGGCGGACCGCCGGCTTCTGCCGGGCGGGG